AAATATCCATTTATCTGAACCTCATCCATTCTCCAAGTCATCTTCCTTTCTCCACCCTAGTCCCACCCATTTAATAGAATATTTTATCATATTTTCCCAATCTGCTCATGTCATCTTTACTCTCTTTGCCTTTTTGCATATTACTCCTCTTGCCTGAGAAGCCCTTTTGCACTTTCTCCTGGCTAACTCACATATGTTGAGACTTAGCTTAGTCACTCACATCCTTTGGAAAATGTTTCCAGATATTTCTGCCTAAGCTAAATGCTCCTACCTTTGTGCTTCCTAAATTCCTTATACTTACTAATATCATGGTATTTATTACATGCTTTTGTCTGTTATTTTTACTTCCATGTCGTTCCAAACAGATTATAAAGTATTTTATGACAGAGACTATTTTGAGTGCCTTTGAAAGCTGAGGATGTATCAGAGAGCTGACATTTGGTTAGCATTCAATACATTTTGGCTCAATAAAGGAAAAAATCAAACGACAATAGGTGGTTTCAGAGGGCTATGAAAAGATATTTTATCTTTAATACGGTTAATTTTTTATTGTGGTAAATATACATAACATTAAATTTACCATTTTAAGCATTTTTAAGTGTACACTTCAGTGACACTAAGTATATTCAAATTGTACAACCATTACCACTAATCCTTTCCAGAACTTTTTCATTATCCCAAACAGACACTCTATCCTTTCAACCCTCCCACTGCCCTTCTACTTTCTATTTCTATGAATTTGTCTATTCTTGGTAACTCAAATAAGTGGAATCATACAATGTTTGTCTTTTTGTGACTGACTTATTTCGCTTAGCATAATGTCTTCAATATTTATTTATATTGTAGCATGTACTAGAATTTCACTCATTTGTAAAGCTAAAAAATATTCCATTTTATGTATATATTGTATTTCGTTTATTCATTCATATGTTGATGGACACCTGGATTGTCCCCACCTTTTGCTATTGTGAATAATGCTGCTATGAATATTGGTGTAAAAGTATCTATTTGAGCCACTGCTTTCAATTTTTTTGGATATATACCTAGATGTGGAATTGCTGGATCATATGGTAATTTTATGTTTACTTTTTTGAGGATCACCATATTGTTTTCCACAGTAGCTGCACCATTTTACCTTACCAGTAATGAACAAGGGTTCCAATTTCTCCACATCCTCAACAACAGTTATTTTCTTTTTCTTTCCCCCCACTTGTTTTTGATAATAGGTATCATTTTGAAGATGAAGTAGCATCTCCTTCTGGTTTCGATTTGCGTTTCCCAAAAGGCTAGAGATGTTGAGCATCTTTTCATGTGCTTATTGGCCAATTGTGTGTCTTTGGAGAAATGTCTTTTCAAGCCTATTTTTTTTTTAAAGATTTTTATTGGGGAATTGGGGGGATGGGAACAGTGCTGGGGAATTGGGGGAAGGGGAACAGACAAGTTGCTGTCCTTTTGTTCTTCAGTCTAGTTGTGGAGGATGTTGTTGCACTGGCCCAAGTTGGCACCATCATTGCGCTCCTCCCGGCCGAGGCAGATCAGTCTCCGGCTTCTGGACGGCCGCTCACAGTGGCTGCTGGCCGCTCATGCTGGCTGCTGGCTACACACGGTAGCCCATGGCAACCCACTGCCACAGGGGCTGCAGCCTCCGCTGTCGCCGGCGACTCATGGCTGCCCAGATCCAGGTTGAGCTGTTGTTCAGCATCTTAGCTATAGAGAGCATTGTCACTGGCCCTCATATGTGGGATCCGAGCCAGGGCCCTCTGGCATCCCAAGCCAGTTCTTAACCATCGCGCCACTCGGCCGGCCCTCAAGCCTGTTTTTAAATTGGGTTGTTTACTTTTTTTGTTGTTGAATTGTAGGTGTTATTTATATATTCTGGATATAAGCTATATGATTGGCAAATATTTTATCCCTTTTTGTGGGTTGCCTTTTTATTCTGTTGATAGTATGCTTTGATTCACAAAAGTTTTTATTTAAATGAAGTCAAATTTATCTATTTTTTCTTTTGTTGTCTGTATTCTTTGTGTCTTATCCAAGAAATCTTTGCCAAATCTAATGTCATGAAGATTTTCTCTGTTTTCTTCTAAGAGTTTTATAGCTTCAGCTCTTATGTTAGGTCTTTGATACATTTTGAGTTAATTTTTACATATTATGTAAGATAAAGGTCTAATTTCATTATTTTGCGTGTACATATCCAGTTTTCACAACACCATTTATTGAAAGACTGTCTTTTCCCCATTGAATAGTCTTAGCATCCCTGTTGGAAATCACTTGGTCATATATATGAGGATTTATTTCTGGGGTCTCTATTCTCTTTCATTGGTTTATATGTTTGTCTTTATGCCAGTAGTACACTGTTTTAATTACTGTGGCTTTGTATTAAGTTTTGAAATTAAGAAGTATGAGTCCTCCAAGTTTGTTTTTGCTTTTAAGATTGTTTTGGCTATTTGGGGTGTTTTGAGATTCCACATGAATTTTAGAATGGATTTTCTATTTCTGCCAAAAAAAAAATAATAATGTCATTGGAAATAACATTGAATCTGTGGATTGCTTTGGGTAGTATTTATGTCATCACAATATTAAGTCTTCCAATTCACAAATATGGGATGTCTTTCCATTTATTTTGGTCTTTAATTTCTTTCAGCAACATTTTATAGCTTTAAGTGCACAATTCTTTCTCCTTCTTGATTAAGTTTATTCCTAAGTATTTTATTATTTTTGATGCTATTGTAAATAGAATTTCCTGAATTTTATTTTCAAATTGTTGCTATTGTACAGAAATGCAGTATTTTTGAGTGTTGATTTTGTATCCTGCAAGTTTTCTGAATTTGTATATTCTAACAGGTGTTGTGTGTATGTGTGTATGTGTGTGTGTGTGTGTGTGTGTGTGTGTGTGTGTGTGTGTGTAGTCTCTTTAGGGTTTCTACATATAAGATAATGTTGTCTGCAAACACAGATAATTTTACTCTTTTTTTTGGCCCAATTTGGATAGCTTTTATTAATTAAAATTAATTAAATGAAGGGAAAAAACAACTGGTACAGAAAACAATTTCATGATAAAAACAATAAACTAGGAATAGAAAGACATTTCCTTAACATGATAAAGGCCATATATCAAAAATACACAGCTAACATCATACTCAATGCTGAAAAGACTGAAAGCTTTTTCTGTAAGATCAGGAATAAGACAAGGATGCCTACTTTTGCCAATTTTATGCAAAATAGTATTGGGACTTCTAGCCAGACAAACTAGAAAGAATGGCAAAACACCCCCAATTTGATGAAATACATAAATCTCCAACCCCAAGAAGCCCAATGACCTCTAAGGAGGACACACTTAAAAGACCCAACCAAAACACATCATAATGAAACTGTCCAAAGACAAAAAGAGATTCTTGAAAGCAGCAAGAGAAAGGTGAATCATCACGTACTAGGGATCCTTAATGAGAATATGAGCCAATACCTTATCAGAAACCTTAGAGTCCAGAAGGATGCAAGATGAAATGTTTAAGGTACTGAAAGATTTAAAAAACTTGTCAACTCCAACAATATATCTGGTAAAACTTTCTTTCAAAAATAAGAGAGAAATTAAGATACTTTCAGAAAAACAAAAACCAATGGAATTCATTACCACTAGACCCACCCTACAAGAAAGGCTAAGAGGAGTCCTTCAGGTTAAAATGAAAGGATTCTAGACAGTAACTTGAAGTTGTATGAAGAAAGAAAGATCTCTGATAAAGGATTTGAGACAAATGCATCAACAGTAATTATAAAGCTGTGTTATTGTGTACGCTTTGGGTTGGATTTTTATTCAGATTTGGGATGTTTTTGCCATTATTTTCTCAAATCATCTTTTTCCCCCCTTTTCTCTCTTTTCCTTCTGGGACTTCATGTGTGTATGTTGGTCTGCTTCATGGTGTCCCACACCATGTTTACTTTTCTTCTTCTTTTTTTTTTGTTGTTGTTTCTACTGCTCAGACTCCATAGTTGCCATTGTCTTATTCTCAAGTGTTCTGGTTCTTTCTTTTGCTTGCTCAGATCTGCTTTTGAATCTTTCTAAAGGAATTTTCATTTCAATTGTAATTTTCAGCTCCAGAATTTCTGTTTGGTTCCTTTTTATAATTTTTATTTTTTTGTTGACATTCTCATTTTGTTTATATATCATATTTCTAATTTCCTTTAGTTCTTCATCTACATTTTCCTTTAACTTTTTGAGCATACTTAAGTTTTGTCTAGTAAGTCTGATGTCTGGGCTTCCTCAAGAATGATTTCTGTGAATTAATTTTGTTCTTTTGAATGAGGCATGTTTTTCTATGCCCTGTGATGGTTTTGTCTTGTTTCGTTTCTGCTGAAAATTGGATATTTAACTATTATAATATGGTAACTCTGGAAATCACATTCTCCCCTTCCCTAGGGTTATTTTTGTTGTTGTTGTTGTTGAAGGCTATTGTACTTTATTTTGAGAGTTTTCTTAACTACTTTTTACAGAGACTCTTCCTTGTCATGTGTGATCACTAAAGTCTCTGTTTCTTTAGCTCACATTCAGCTGAAATTTTGACAGCGATTTCCTTGAGTCCCAGGTAAGTTTGCAGTTTGGCTCTGTGCTAGGGCATTCCTTCAACACTTAGCTAGGCTGTACTAAGGCTAACAAGCAGCCCGAATTGAAAGCTTACGATCTTCTCAGGTCTTTTCTGATGTACATCTTGCCTGGTTGTGCATGTAGCGTCCTAAATTCCCCCATACATTTGTCTGCTTTTGAATGTTCTGATTTTCCTGCCTCACCTCAGCTTTTCTTCTGGGTCTTACATGGTCTATTGTTTGTCTCCACCTGTAACCTCTTGCCCCAGGAGTCATCTTGCAAGTTTTATGAGTAGTGTCCATCAATTTCCCCACCTGAGTTCTGAGTTAAACATCATATAGACAAACTTCAGGTACCCACCAGACAGTTTAGAACAGATATACACAATAATTTGCAAATAAGGTCTGCTTTCTCCTTCTAGTTTGAGGTATGGTACTGTGAACCAGGCTGCCACCACTTCAAGACCGAAACTATTGCCATGCTGGGGATGGGTAGAGTAAAGGTGAGTAAAAATGCCACAAAACTTTCTTATCATTTTGAACATGACTTTTTTTTTTTTGATTGGGCATTTTCTTTGTGGCTGTAAATCTTTGACTGTTTTACAGAGCTCCAGTAAGGTTGGTTCAGATAGTTTCTGCCTTTTAAAAAAACGTTTCTGTGGGGATAGATACAAAAAATAAATTGTATTTATTTTCTGTATCTTTCTGTATGTTGGGGGAGAAGGGTGAAAAAGATAAATAAGTATAAATTGGCAGTTATAATAATAGTCATGGGAATGTAAAGTATAGCATAGGGAATATAGTCAATATTATAATAACTATGGTGTCATATGGGTACTAAACTTATGGTGGTGATCACTTCGTAAGGTATATAAATGTCTAATTACTATATTGTACACCTCAAACTAATACGTCAACTGTAATTGAAAAATTGAAAACAAATGTTTCTGTGGGGGGAATGAAAGCTTGGAGCTTTCTAGTCTGCCATTTTCTTCTTCAACATAGCTTTGCCTTCACTTGGACTTTCACCAAAGGGCATCAGAGGACTTGGCATATAACCTAAATGAAAGTGTGTACAGTCACACACACACACACACACACACACACACACACACACACACACAAATGGTGGGAACAAAGACACTTTTAGCCACTGTAAAGAGGCCTGGAATAGGAAGTTGTTTGGAGAATTAAACTTTTATAGATGAAGAATCTACAAGGATATTGGCTGACAGTTGAGAGCCGATAAACATATGAAATGAGTTCTGTCCAGGCAGTAAATTGTTTGGGGAGCTGTTGTTTGCTGACAGCATGGGACAGCTGCAGTTACATGCTATGAATGGTTGGGTCTCATTTCTGGATACAAATTAATTCTAGCTCATGAAGGGTCTTGAGTAATGCCAAAATGACCAAGTAGAAGAATATGTGAAAAGAATGGCTGGTTCTGGCACTAACTTAGAGCCTCCCCTCAGGACTCAGAAAATCTGTATAATTCAATTCATTCTTAATTGTAGCTGTGTATCAGCTTGTTCCAATCCTGATTGTGATTCACAGCTGTATCTCAGAAGTGACTTGGGAAGGTAAGCTTTGAGTAATTAGCTTCATTTCCACTTTTGCACTCCCCCACCCATTCATCAATAGTACTCTCTGCCTCTCCTCTCAGTTTTCTTCTCTGATCACTTCTTCTCCTTTGCCTCCTCCTCCCTCAATGAAAACATACTCTGAGGAAATAATCTGCTAAATGAATTCACATTAAGCTGCAACGGCCAATAAGACTTGAATGTAAACCTTCCTAGGGGCCATTTGCATTTTAACAGATGTCTGTAGTTCAAGCTAAAAGAAAACATTTTTAATTGTGAAGCTCTAAGTTGCATAGGAAAGATAATTTTTAGAGGACCTGGTTCCAACTCAGAATATTTTTCTGCTTTCTTTTTTTCCTCCCATTATTATAATGGTTCTCTTCTTTTCTTTCTTTTTGTAAATTAAATTTATTGGGGTGACATTGGTTAGTAAAATTACATAGGTTTCAATGGTACCATTTTATATATTTTTCTATTTTCGAGGTACACTCTACTCCAGATAATATGAAAAAATTCCAAATTATAAAAGGGCTTTAGAAAACCAAATTTCTCCTCCGAATATGAAAAGAAGCTCTGGGGCTGAGGCTGATTTGAGTGAGACATCATCGGATGACCTTTGACATCTTCCCAGCCAGACAATAGGGATAAAGCCAAGCCCTTGACCACACTGAGAAGTCAGGTCAGGGAGATTTTCACCTTGCTATATGGGAAAAGAAAGGTTGATGAGCTGGAATAGAACATGTCTTCTAACTCAAGGTCTTGACTATTTTAGAGTAGAATAAGCAGCCTCCATACCTTTATATGGCCTTTCTTCCTAATCATCATCAGAGAATCTTTGGGATACAGTATACAAGTGGGGATCAGTCTGCCAGTTCTACAAGTATGGGTACCAAAAAGTAAGAGTTAAGAGTGGGGGCCGGCCAAGTGGCTTGTTGGTAAGGAGTTGGCTTGGGAGCGCGAGCTCTGAGCAGCAGGGCCGCCAGTTTGGATTCCACATGGGCCAGTGACGCTGCGCCCTCTACATCTAAGATGGTGAACAACAGCTCCACCTGGAGCTGGGCTGCCGTGAGCTGCCAGTGATGGCGTAGGCTGCAGTGAGACTGCAGTAGGCTGCCATAAGCTACTGTGAGTGGTCGGAAGCCAGCGAGAGCGGCAGGCAACTGCCGTGAGCCACCGTGAGAGGCCATCCAATGGTTGGTGACTGATCCGCCTCAGCCGGGAAGAGCGCAATGATTACAATACCAACATGAGCCAGTGAAGCGACGTCCTCCACAATTAGACTGAAGAACCAAGGACAGCAACGTGTCTGTCCCCCATCCCCCCCAAAAAAGTTAAGAGTGGGAAATACATTATCACTGTGATTGAGTTTAACCTCTTCCAGCCTGTTCCTTCCTCTGTAATGTGGGAGCAGTAATATCTATTGCAAAAGAGTTAGAACTCTTTCGATTGCAAATTACAAGAAGGCATATTAAATTAAATTAAGTAAAAAAAAAAGGAGAATTTAGACGCTTTCACTCCTGGATGTCTAAGGGGCATTGGCTTTTGAGCAAGGCTGGATCCAGGAACCCAAAGGACGCCTTCAGGACTCTCTGGCTCTCCATTTCTTAACTCTGCTTGTTTCTACTTAGCTTTATCCTCAGACAGTTTTAATTTATATCAGTTAAAAAGATCTAAAAAACTTATCTTGCAGCTTAACAATTCCAACAGAAAAATCTCATTCAAATATTACTCCCAGGGAAGATTATTGCCTTGCTCAGGTCAGACGTCTAAACCCCAGCCAATCTCTGTGTGGTGGGATATTTTTTGATTGGCCAGCTTAGGTCATATGTATAACCCATGATTTGGCCAGGATACAATAACTGACTGCCTCTCCAGGATCTCATAGCATGGAGAGAGAATTCCCTAAAGGATTCAGGAAGCAGAAGATAGGAAAGTATGCTGGGCATAAAAATATTATAGCTATTATAATCTACCAAACCTACCACTACCAGATTAAAATTCAAATGGGCAGACACAGGGAAGCTGTTTATGAACTACAATCAAAATTGAAACTTAGTTGGCTTGGTACACCAGAGGGCCCCAGTTCGGATCCCACATATGAAGGCCAGTGACACTGCCCTCCACAGCTAAGATGCCGAACAACAGCTCTACCTGGAGCTGGGCTGCCCTGAGTCACCGGTGACAGCGTAGGCTGCAGCCCCTGCTGCAGTGGGTTGCCATGGGCTACCGTGTGTAGCCAGCAGCCAGAGTGAGTGGCCGTCCAGAAGCCAGCGACTGATCTGCCTCGCCCGGGAAGAGCGCAATGATGGTGCCAACTTGGGCCAGTGGGGTGACGTCCTCCACAACTAGACTGAAGAACAAAAGGACAGCAACTTGTCTGTTCCCCTTCGCCAATTCCCCAGCCCTGTTTCCATCCCCCAATTCCCCAATAAAATCTTAAAAAAAAAAAATTTGAAACTTATTATTCAAATAATAGTAAATACCATGATCATTGAAATCAAGAAAGCTTCATCATATGAAGATGGCTTTACAAATCAGTGGGAAAAGATGGATGATTCAACAACTGGTGTAGGACAACTGGATAGGCTTCTGGAAAAAACATGAAAGTAGGAGCCCCACCTCCCACCATATATTGGATATACTACAAATGGATTAAATATTTAAATGTAAAAATGAAACCATGGAGGCCGGCCGAGTGGCTCAGTTGGTTAAGCGTTAGCTTAAGAGCATGAGCTCTGAGCAACAGGGCCGCCGGTTCGATTTCCACATGGGCCAGTGACTCTGCGCCCAAGCTGAGCTGCCACTGAGCTGCCAACAGGTGGCAGGATGGCTCAGCTGGTGGGAGCACGTGCTCTTAACAACAAGATTGCCTGTTTGATGGTGGGCTACGCCCGCCCACCTGCAACTAAGACTGAACTCAAGCTGAGCTGCCACCTGGATGGCTCAGTGCATGAGCATGCACTCTTAACAACAAGGGTGCCGGTTTGACTCTGGCATGGTTTGGTGGCTATGCCCACCCACAACTAAGACTGAACTCGGTGCCTCCAGCTGAGCTGCCACCCGTTTGGCTTAGTAGATAGAGCATGCGCTTTTAACTATGAGGCTGCTGGTTCGATTCCCACATGGGATGGTGGCTACGTCTACCTACAACTAAGATTGAACACAGCACCTTGAGCTTAGAGGCCATGAGCTGCCGACGGGCAGCCAGATGGTGACTGGCGCACTCCTCAACTAAGACTGAAGAACAACAACTTGGCTGGTCCCCCTCCCCAATTCCCCAACATTGTTCCCCTCCCCCAGTTCCCCAATTAAAAAAAAAATGAAATCATGAAAATATTAGAAGAAAACATGGAAGAATTCTTTATAATCTTGGAATGGGGAAGGTCTTCCTAATCAATATTCAAAATTCTGAATTCAAACAGAATATGAATGATAAATAAAACTACATCAAAAGCAAACATTTGTATGATGAAAAACATCATTTGAAAAAAGTAAAAAGGCAAAAACAAATGGAATAAAAAGCAGTGGTGTGTTGGAGATGGCCTGCACTAGTTCACAGGAGACAATGGCTAAATTTTCAGGAATTTTGCAAGCTGGTTGTCAAACACAGACATTGGTTAAAATTATACTATGTAAACTTACAATTAAAGTATGTTACAAACAAAGGTAATTAATATTCCAAATTCATCACTTTCTAATTGTTTAACTACATTTTACTATTATTCATGCTCTTGAGGTTATTTACATCTATCATTTCTGTATTGTGGAGATATTATATAATGATCTGCTGCTGCATATCTCTTCCCACCTCCACATTTGGTGATGTCATTCATGTTGATAGCTTGAATTTGGCTGTGGTGGGCATATTTACATCATGAAAATTGGCAAGTGCTATAAACCAAGGTTTATCTTCTCCAGAGACT